CCCCAAAACCCCAAAACCCCAAAACCCCAAAACCCCAAAACCCCGGTTCATTTTTGTACGATTGAAATTACTTTCAACTAGCGGGGACTCATCCAAACTTAGTCTCGATAAGTTGTACTGAAATTTCTACTTGGAGGCTTACCTAGCGTCCCAACCCTTTGGCAATATGCTTTAGATTGCTTTAATCGTGGTAGTAGTAGATAAGAATTGTTTTAAGTTATTAAAGGAATACATATAGCACAGAAATGAAATTATTCATTATTTTCATGTCATTTTCTCTTTAATGGACTTAAACCATTCCTGTATTTCCTTTATCCGGAAAGCCTTTGAGGTTATATTACTTTTGTTATCTGTTGGGTCGTATACTCAGAGTAACTTACTGTTAGCGCCTGGAATTTTACCAAATTTATCAACTACTATTGGCATACCGTCCGGGAAGAAGAAAATTCACTTATTTTCTACATCAAACTCTGGAGAATACATTGAGAAGAAGTAAATAAATAATCGCCCTTTGTACGTCGCTTCTTGTTGGAACATCTCGTCTGAGTTCATATTTTCAAATCAGAGAGCAGCATAGAGCATGATAAATAATCCATATGAGCCAAGACCACCTGTATATGGATCATTATACCCATTAGCAATGAGTAGTTTCTTGAGTGTTAAACATACGGGACGGAGGACGGGGTATTGCTCAAGCTTTTCCTTAACAAATGCACTTTGCTTCAAACTCATATGGGCACCTTCATAGCTATCACTCATGCTGATATCTACCGAGAGCTCCTTCAGACTAGATCCACTGGCATCAGTGGAAGCAAAGTTTATAAATGGTACAAAGATATCACCTTTGTTGTCGTGAACTTCATAATACTTTTCCAAATTAAATTTGAGCTTAATAATAGGCACTTGGGTATTTAAAATACTAGCTGAGCTGATAAGAATCTCTTCATCAAAGTATTCCTTCAATGCATTATGCATCTCTGTAATATTTTCAGAATGAACTTGTGAGCTTCCAAAACTATTGACTCCTGTAATCATGACGTCCATATCACTTTCTGGCAAAGCGAGCTCGGTAGCGACTGAGCCATAAATGTGGGCTTCTACTCTTTTATGGAATTGGCCAAAAGCTTCCTTGGCAACCTTCTCGATCTCCTTTTTGATACCAAGCCTGTACTTCTGAATGAGATCTGAGTATAGAGTGATGTTAGTGGTCTCATCCATAATTTGCTTTGAGATCTTCTGGTAAATTAAAATTTCATATACATATTGCCTATAAGTCGGGTCGTTCATTTGGTTGTAAGCCTCATTATACATAGGCTGAGGAGGATGATAGCTACCAAACGGGTAAGCATAAGCAGGCATGTTCTGATCAAGACCTTGAGACATCTCTGGCTGAGCATATCATTCCTGATTCATTTGCATTTGCATCATCTGCTGATGATTTTGAGCTTCTGGTTGATAATTAGCGTGTTTTGTGAACTTATCAAATGATCCATCAATGCTTTCACCTTTTGTTTCCTCATCATAGAGAGGTTGTTCAAGTCCAGTATGATCTTTGTGGCTGCTCTTAAAACTCCGGCTCTCATAACTTTTAGTTTGAAAACTTTGAGATTTAGATTTTGAAAGCTCCACATCATCTTTAAAAGATCCAGAACTTCTTAGCGAGTGCTTTTCAGATATTTCTGAGTTCTCATTCAATTTCTTGTTGAAGTATTGTGGCGGCTTATTACTCCCCTTACGAGGAGAATAGTTAGCTCCTTTCGGAGGTTCCTTGCCAGAATTTTTAGCAAAACTTCTCATGCCAGAAGCATCAGGCTCCTCATCAAGTGCCTTCTGAGGTGTCTGTGGTCAATCATGAGTCTTTGCCTTAGAGAGAAGAGGAGCATCGATGTCAGATTTTTGAGATTCCTTCTCAGATCCATCCTTCTTAGAAGTATTCATCTTTTTCTTCTGCTGTTGTTTCTGATTTTGCTGTTTTTGGTTCTGCTGTTTCTTGTTTTTCTTGTTCTTATTTTTATTTTGCTTTCCCTTTTTGCTCTTATTTTGCTTCTTGCTCTTAAAATCATTTTGGTCTCTTCTTTGGTTATCTACCTTGCACATCTTGGATGGAGATTCAGGAGTCTGCTCATTCTTTAATCTCTTTTCTTCTGAGTGAAGACTCACAACTTCAGATGAGTGAGAAATACAGTTATTAGACTCACTTTTGGGTGAATTTAAGATTTTGCTCTTCTTATTTTCAGGTTTCTTTTGTGTTATGATTTTCTCTGTAACTTCTTGCTTTTTATTATTTTTATGTGTTTTGCTTTCAAAATTGATTTCCTCACTACCGGAATTAGTAGCAGCATTTCCGATCTTATCACACTCTTTTGTAGAAAGTGAGCTGATCTTGATTTGCTCTTTCTCTATCTTATTTTTGGTGAAAAGGTACGGGTCTAGCTTGTCTCCATCATGATGAGCCTTTGAGTCTTTGAGATCCTTTTCGAGCTTGTACTCGTCTTCCTTCTCTCATTCACTCTTGGTTTCTTGAACCATGATATTTTCAAGGTCCTTTATGGCTCCATTTACAGATCCATCGTCAATATACTGTTGCTTGTCTGTTTCTAGGAGGTCATTATCATGGTCAATTTTACTAGATCTTTCTGTTGCGGTAAGCTCATCTGCCAATTTCTTCTCGATTTCTACTGGGTTCTTCTTACTCTTTTGAGAAGGAGATGCTTTGCTCTTCTGCTTCTGGTTATTAGGATTAGATTGATTTTTCTGGGTCTGAGTCTCCTGTTTGCAAACTTTGTCCTTCTTTTGTTGATTTGCCTGCTTGTTTTTATTTCTTTTTCTTCCCTTTTTATTGGTCTTTTTGTCAACCTTTGAGGGTTCTTCTTTCTTGGTTTCTTCCTCAAGAAATTCTAGGACAAGCATCTCAGCCATTTTATCATCTCCTTTCTTTGTAAGTTTATCAAAAAGATATCTTGCGAACTGCCGAATTCTGTCATCTGAATATCTGTTATTTTGAAAGATCCTTGATTCGTTGATAATCTGATACAATTCCTTCTGAGTTCGGAATATTTTGTATCCCTTTTGAGCATCTCCGCATGGCCTTATCATAGTAATGAGGTGAGTTCTATATTCCTTAATATCCCTCAGAATCATTGATTTAATTTCATTATAAAATTGGATGTCATCCCTATCAGTGCAATTCTTTGGAGGTTTCTTCAGATCATGTACATTATAAGCGGCAAGTGCTTCCTCAGTCTTCAAGTATTCATCTGCTTCTGCATCATCAGACTGGGTATCTTTAATGAAGTGCAAGATTTCATCCTTCAGATCTAAGTATTCGAGGAAGATTTTCTCGGTCTTTCTCCAATTTGCTTCACCAGGATCTAGAAAGGATTTAGGATTATAGTTCCGCTTATCATTAATAGCTCTTGAATAAGAATTATGTAGAGCTATTTCTATTAGTCATAGGATTTTTCCTCATAACATTTTAGATCCCTCGTTAAAATTATCTCCGAAGGTCAATCTTAGCATTTTCTTGAGCTTGAGATTATTCCCTGAAATATTCTCATCAGAATCCTCAAGTTCCTCCCAAGCTGTTTTTATGGTATGGAAGAACTCTAAAGGATCAGCTACAAGATCTTCTTGAACGGTTATTGTGTCTTCAGGGTATTTCGTATCTAAAAATGTAAGTTTTTGGATAATCTCATGCATTCATCCAGGAAGTTCAGGAGGTATGACAACCTCCCAGTTCTGAAGAGAGCTTCCTGGTGAAATACCCTCATGGTCATTATCATCATCGTAGTCTTGACTAGCATGCGAGGAACTGGAATTGTATTGTTTATTCTCTAGCTTACGGATATCATTTCTAAGAGCCTGCAGAATTTGGTAATTTTCATGAACGATTGTGGAAATTGCTTCAACTCTTTCTACAATCTCTAGGCTTTCGAACCACTCCGTTTTCGATAATTTTCCCTTCTGGGATTGCCTTGGAGTATTTTTCTTATCTTTCCCAATATGATAGTATTTGTTATTAAGTACGAGGTGTAGGTTGTCCTTTCCTGGGCACATAGACAGTCCATCCCAAAATTTAGATAGAGTCTCATCTTCTGGAAGTTTTGGTTCATAAGTCGATTCCATAATTGCAAAATACTTAATTATTGTTTTTTCCAATCTTAATATTTTTATTAGGGGTTTTGGGGTTTTGGGGTTTTGGGGTTTTGGGGTTTTGGGG